GTGTTATATAATTCAGATTCTAAAACACAACAAAGGGGCATGATTCATTAACTACTAACTTACAAACAGGGTACCAGTAGACTTCATTGCAGTGTCTGTGTCATGAACTTATAATTCAAGGACTTTGCTGGTGGCAATTGAGTGCTTATAAATTAAGAAGCATATGCTTATGAAAAAACAGTATTGCACTGTAGATGTTTGACATATGCTTCCAGATATTTAAACCAAGAGACCAAGGTCTAACTCGGGGTTTTCAACTTCAAACCTGCCAACATTTTAAATGGGATATGTCTTTGGGCTGTCCTTTGCATTGTAGGATGTTTAGCAGCATCCTTGGCCTCTACCCACCAGATGCCAGTAGCAACCTCCCATTTCCAGTTGTGACATTCAAAAAATGTCTTCAGATATTGCCAAATACCATCTGGAAGTACAGATTGCCCCCAGTTGAGAACCAGTCATCTAACTGTTCTTTCTTAATTGAAGAAACAAATCTCTCACGCATCCAGTTACACTTTCCCCGGTGCTTATAATTAAGAAGTATGAAGATAGATAGCTGGTGAGAAACTAAGCAAAATGTATTTATTTGTTATTCATGAATAAATACCAGATTATACTCTTAAGAAGCAGAGGAAAGTTTGGATAAATTCTAATACTAACTTGTTCCATTTTTAGCAGCCAGTAATGCTTGTTAAAATGAGATGTGTCTAGGAGCAGTTGAACAGGATTAATATCTGTTAGCTGTGTATCACTTACATCAAGGATACACTGTCAGTAAGTATGCGATTAAGCTATCTATTGGTACACACCAAATTTAGCATTTCTTTTGTGCCTTCAATTATATTAATCATTTTGGAAGCATAATCCCCAGACTTAATGCAGTATGAGTGGAATTGTCAATGTACATATTTGTATAAGTGTGCATAATATACTTGGTGTAAAGTACTCACTGAGATCCGATGCTTGGGATTTTTATGGGTGCATTGATTTTTTGTGACCGTTTTATGGATTCAGATATACTGAACAGGGAAGTTAGAAGTTTGTTTGCTTGACTTTCCTGTTATGTTTTTAAAGCTGATTTTTTAAAAAAAATCATAGCTTCATAGTTAAGGTAAGTAACCCACCTGATATTTGTGGGTTCATGATTAAAGTGGGCAACTCACTAAATGTTTATCTAGTGCTTTACACGTCTTTTCACTGTTTTTCATGTGTGATATAGATTATTTAATTCCCAGGAATGATCTTTCTTCACTGGGAACAATTTTTTCTCTCCTTTGATTTCATGTTAATGTCACACTCAATAATTGTCTTTAAATTTTGCTTATGTGTCTGATAATTTTAATCATTACTTAAGAAAAGTTAAAATAGTTATCACCTATCCTGCACCTATTAGATAATTAATAAATATTTGATAATTGATCTAATAGTAGTTTGTTAAATTCAGTTGATTTATTCCACATTTCAGCGAGTGCCTACTGTGAACACGGTGGGTTATGCTGTTGGCCCCATTAAGGTTCCATAGGTGAATTTTTGAGGGTCACTCTCATTAATAAACTTATGAGGAAAGATAAGTACAGATAACTGATTCAGTGTGGAGTACAATGGGCTCATAAGAAGGAGCCAAGTAAAAGGATGGGACACTAATCAGAGGAGATTTCCTGGAGAGGTGACACTTTGTATTATATCCCCATGTCCTCAGCTGCCTGCCAGAAATCCCACCTAGAGTGGACGGTCATTCTCTGCCCTCTCCTCTTGGCACCAACACCGACTCTCTTCACCATGTAGTCCTTTCTAAATCCTGGAATGATTTGCCTACCCTGAGCTCCTGAAGGAAAGCTCAGGATTCTGTTAAATCCAAACAACACATAACAATACAGATTTTAAAAATTTATCTCTTTATCCTTTCCCTGCTTTGGCCAAAGCTGACTTTGAAGATAAAGTCACTAGGTATTTAGTTTTGAACTAGAATGTCTGGTACTGAAGCAGCATTGTGGGTGAGGGATAGATAATTCATTACCATCTTACGATGGTGGGGCATGGGAATTCTCATTGACTCCACAGGCATGCCTAATGCACATTTAAGCCACTTACCTTCTAGATGCAAGCTCATGATGCTTATTGGCCAGTCAGTGCATGCTGGAACCTGGGTCTGCCTTTAACCATCATTTCCTCATTTTTGAATACCTAGACAGCTGTGACTACCCTATATGACTGGTTGTTTTCATTTAACAAACAAAAGTGCTACACTTTTGTGTAATTGAGACTATACTTTGACCATCTTTTTTCTTATGTGCACTTCTTATGGTTTAAAATAGTTGCCACCTTAAATCAAGATTTAAACATTTTTAACATTAAATTAATTCTGAAATTGTGAGACTTTTTGCTCAGTATGAATGTTCTAGCCATGTTGTAGAAAGATTATTTTCTAGTTTATATAGTTTATACTCTGAACTATTAACTACTTTAAAAAAGAGCCTTTAAATATCTGGAGGAATGGTTTCCTTTTGAAAAATACTACATTGTGCTCTGGTGCTTGGAGTTGGCTAATTGTGTTGAGTTAGCAAAAAGTGTGAGTGTATGTGTGTATGTATATATTCTAGGGTACCTTTCACTTATTTGGAAGTAAAAGAGAAATTACAAAAAATAAATATGAATGAAACACAATGTAAAATAAGATGTCATGTAGATTATCACAGCAAAATTTCCACATTACGTATTGTTTTGGTACATGCATTTTTATGGGTCTGACAATTTTGCTGAAATAGTCAATTGCTTCTTTATATAAGATAGTCCTGAACTCTCTCAGAGAATAGCTCCGAATAATGATCTATGTGATAATCACAACTTTTCCAGAGACAAAAATTGCTAAAGTGTCCAAAGGACCCTAAAGATTCAACTTAGAAACTCTACCTTATACTGATAAGGAAATTTGCCCAGTTCATTAGTGGATGCTGTAAGGAGTTGGGACGGGAGGTGGAATATAGGTAACCATATGTCCTATTTCTGCATATATGACACTGTTAGTTTATATGACAGGCATTTACCAGGGTCTATTTTACAGCAGATTCGTGTTTAGAGGTACCATAATGAATAAGACAAAATCTCTCTTTATTTGATATATAGGCTATACTTATGTAAAATATATTACATTTTTTTCAGGATGAACATGTTAGAGCCTTATTGCAGGCTAAACAGCATTCAAGGTTCACCTCTGTGCAACAGCATACCTAGTTACTGCTATGTTGTGCTGTGTAGATGGTAAAAAAAATGCAAGGATAAACGTGATAGAAGACTTAAAATGCTTTTACGGAGAGAAATTTCCATTTTCTCAGTAGAAAAGAAAAACATAGGAGACCTACATCAACAACTTTATTTATGATCTAGAAGAAGACAGCAAATAATCTATTAATTGACTCATAACTGGGTCTAAGTTGAGAAGCGCCGCAAATACCACCAAGGACAGAGACATGATGCCACCAAAGAATAGAAGAGGAAAAGTAAAATTGAGTCTGGAGAGAAGCAGCAAGCATCCGTAAAGTTAGCTTTGCCCTCCTATTTAGAGGAGTTTTAAATGATCAAACATAATTAATCTCAATAATATCTGCATGGTAGAAAAACACATATTGGAGATGCTAAATGATACCTTAATCCACCTATGTTTTTGAAAAGAAATAGGTGGAGAAGAAAAGAAAGACCTTTATATCATGGCACCCAAGTAATTAAATAAAATTCTCATGTTTACTAAAATATGCAATTCACCCAAAAATAATGGAATAAGAAGGCCTTTTGTACCATGGGTGAGGTATTTTTAAAAGATTCGTCATTTCTCCTTCTTCTAAGAGAGATGAGTTGGCCTCTATGTCTTTACAGTGGTCAACCCCGTGGATCATGCATCAACTTCCTGTGCATGCATGACTGTTTAGACCTGAGAGGAAACTTGGATTGGACTTGGTTTGGAAAATACAGGGGAACATGGTGCTTTGATTGTTCTGCTGTCATGCTCCTGGCTCCTTCTGTCCATCCCTCATGCCCCAGAGTACTGAGCAGCTGGCTGTGCAGCTGTGAACAGGGTCTGAGATAATCTCCCCGTGAGGTATACATAAATCTTGCCAAAGGGATACAAAGAGAAGTTTTTTGCTTGATTTTTCCATTTCCAGATTCTTGCTAGAATTGAAGGAGTATGGTTTTCTCCATTAAACCCTTTTAGGTTTCTAAAATAAGTAGTTATTCAAATAAATATTTTTTTCCTTCATGTTTCTCGGAATAAGAACTACAAAATTAGTTTTTTCATCCACCATAAAAGATTGAATTCATTCTATTGTGCTAGAAATGCTGGTAGCAAGCTGTCTTGCCAGCAGGCAACCTACTGCCCTCAGCAGATGGAACCAGACTTAGGCAAGATGATACTAGCTTTGATTTTCTTGATACAATTCCTATCTACTTCCCCTTGGACCTGCTCACACGCTTCTCACTCCTGGGAGTGGGCATTCCAAACTTGGAAGGATCAGAAGCAAGTTCTGAAATTCAGTCTAATTCCTACAATGGTGGGGCATAACTTGAATCTACCATCACATAAGCCTTTAGGAAATACTAATGAAAGAATAAATGCAGTTCCAAACTGAGTAAATATGCCACATGATCAATTGTCTATTTCTCAAAGTTATTTAAACAAATGGAGTTCTGTGTGAATGACCTTCTCCTAGACAAGAAGAAGATAATCCAGTGGGAAGTCAATATCCATTTAACTCTATCTTCCTGCATTACTCGTACTGATTGCTTATTGCCACACTGGGTATAATATAATGGCATCCATCCATTGGATGGTAGTTAGATCTTAAAGGAGAAATAGCGACAGTATTTAGGACTCTAAGAAATGGCATAGCCAGGATTCATCCTGCACATAGTTATTTCTCTTGATTGGCCCTGTTGAATCAAATTGCATGGAGAATGAATGCAGATCCGTGTATGGCTAAGGCTCTAATGTTGTTATTCTACTTTACCAGGTGTGTTGTAGAAGATAAGAACTCGAAGGTGGCCTGGTTGAACCGTTCTGGCATCATTTTTGCTGGGCACGACAAGTGGTCTCTGGACCCCCGGGTTGAGCTGGAGAAACGCCATTCTCTGGAATACAGCCTCCGAATCCAGAAGGTGGATGTCTACGATGAGGGTTCCTACACTTGCTCAGTGCAGACACAGCATGAGCCCAAGACCTCCCAAGTTTACTTGATCGTGCAAGGTAAGACAAAATAAGAAAAATGTGGTAAAGGAGAGTTGAGGCAGAAAATAATCATAACATACAAATACTCAAATAATCCTTTCTGAAATAAAAGAATACTTCCAAATGCATTACGGCACTTCAGTATGTATTTTCTCCCCAAAAGGTAGACTTTAAATGAGAGAACTAAGGAGGATATAGAAAGAGAAGTCTTGCCACTGTGAGCCAATATCCTTGGTGAGAATAAGCTGTGTCCACAGGGACACAAGAACACACAGACTGCTCAGAACCGTGTGAAGTGCACTTTATTATACTGTTAGGTACTGGATGCTTTTGCTGAAGATTTGATTTTTATCTGTCCTCAGTCTAAAGAATATCACTAATTATCTGTTTTAATGATGGTAAATGTTATTTGGAAAAATAAAAATTTCCAGAGGCCTTGACATCCTTTCAGCTGACTAGCTTTCTTTGTAGTTTGTATCTCCATTTAATGGCAAGTTATTTGTGAGCAAGTGCAGTGATGGGGATCTGCAAAGTCATCAGGGATAACCTGCTTCCAGATTGGGGTTTCCAAGGGCACATCTGAGTCATGGTTTTACAGGATGAAAATCCTGAATGGCATATGCAAGCCCCCAAACTATAGCTCTCTTGGGTCCCTTTCCCCATAATAGCAGAATGAGAACAAAGCTGATCAGCTGCACAATTTTATTGCAAGTGGAGTCAAACTACCAGCAGTTTCAATGCATCTATCAGGAAGGATCTCAGCACTAACAAATATTAGGGCTGTGTTAATGTATTCTTGATTTACAATTTTATGTAAATTTAATGCAAATTAGGCATGGCCCTAGGGCTCCTGTCAAGATTCCAATGCAGTCAGTTGTATGGCAAAGTTTGACTGTAGCTTCTATTAATGTGTTACGGAATTGATTATTGCAGCATTTAAATCATTGCTCTCCCAGCTCCTCTGATTAATAGATTGAAACTGTTTGTTTGCTCTTTATTTCTTCTAGGTCCTTGTTAAACGTTTCTTGTATTTTCTCCATTCTATTTCCAAGATTTTGGATCATCCTTACTATCATTACTCTGAATTCTTTTTCAGGTCGACTGCCTATTTCCTCTTCATTTGTTACGTCTGGTGGGTCTTTGCCTTGCTCCTTCATCTGCTGTGTGTCTCTCTGTCTTCTCATTTTGCTTAACTTACTGTGTTTGGGGTCTCCTTTTCGCAGGCTACAGGTTTGTAGTTCCCGTTGTTTTCGGTGTCTGTCCCCAGGGGCTAAGGTTGGTTCAGTGGGTTGTGTAGGCTTCCTGGTGGAGCGGACTAGTGCCTGTGTTCTGGTGGATGAGGCTGGATCTTGTCTTTATGGTGGGCAGGTCCACGTCTGGTGGTGTATTTTAGGGTGTCTGTGGCCTTATTATGATTTTAGGCAGCCTCTCTGCTAATGGAAACTGGAGTAAAATACATCAGAGACTGGTGCAGTGGCGGTTTAGTCATGTGAGCGCTATCTTGGTACATTTGCAATGGCTGACAGCTTCATTTTATTGCTTGTAGAAGGCATGTCTAGGGCTTCCCTGGTGGCGCAGTGGTTGAGAGTCAGCCTGCCGATGCAGGGGACATGGGTTCGTGCCCCAGTCCGGGAAGATCCCACATGCCGCGGAGCGGCTGGGCCCGTGAGCCGTGGCCACTGAGCGTGTGCGTCCGGAGCTTGTGCTCCACAACGGAAGAGGCCACAACAGTGAGAGGCCCGCGTACCACAAAAAAAAAAAAAAAAAAAAAGTCATGTCTACTGACTTGCAAAGTTCCTATCACAGTCAAAGCATAGAATGCTTTCCTTGTAGTTTAGTGGAGAGCACTTGAGTTTCTTAATAAGAGGCACCAGGGTTTGGATCTCAGGCAGCCCATTTAAGTGTGTAAACACAACTACTGATGTGTACATATGTAAATGGGTTAATTTATCAGCTCCCTCAAAACACAAGCGCACACACACACACACACACATTCACACACACCTCAAAACAAAAGAAGTTCTATCTCATTTAATGGCAGAGGGAAGGGAGATAACTAGTTTACTTAAGGCCCCTTACCTTCACAGCCTTTAATATTATTGGAAAGCTACTAGAGAATGTGTATTGTCCTATATGGAATAACACTGGGCAATCTGAGTATTACATTCCTTGGTTTCTAGATGAGGAAACAGAAGTTAATTAGATTTAGGTTAGTGGCTACAGATCACACAGAGAGTTCAGGGAGTAGTTTGGAGCCAAGCAGACCAGGAATCAAATTTGAAGCACTTTCTACTGGAATGGAAATTTTTTTGCTATGACTTTTTAAGAACTACCAGATTTATATTTGTCTGAGCTCTTAGCGCCAAATGCCCAAAGCCCTTCCTCCTGTTTTCTTATGCATGTAGCACTTTTATAGCTACAAACACAACCATCTTGAGAGTTAGAGCTAGAACTAGGTTAGATCATACTGCTTATACCTTCATACCATGTCAGCACAAGTGAAATTAACTTAAATTTAACTTAATATTAAGTTATTAAATTTAACTAAATATTAAGGGATGGAGAAGGACCTATAAAATACCAGGTACTGTTCATTCATTATCTCGTTTGATTCTAATAATATTATTATTAAGTGGGTGTTAATAACTTTATTGTAAATATGATAAAGCTTGAAGTTCAGAAATCATAAGGAGCTGTCCAAGGCTGCCTGTTGGCTTAGGAAAGAGTTTCAAACCCACATCTGTTTGATTCAAGATATTATAGTGTTTTCTTTTTAACCATATTGCTTTAAAAGAAGAATGAGCAACAAAGCTTGTTCTTGTAAGGGCGATAAAGAAAGGTTGTCTCCTCCTTAAGCCTGAGTTATGAAGGGGGATTTTTTGGACAATTATATGGATGCTGGCATTTGATATTTCATGCCAGATGGCTGATTCGCTTCCCCTTAGGACAGTCAACTTTGTGATTATGTCAGTTGGTCCACCCCTTCATGCTGCTTGTTCACACTGCTTCCTACTCTGTGGCTCAACTCTACGTGTTTTCACCACATCAAAGATGCTGCCATTCTTCTTTCCTCCAATTCCACAGCACCTTCCTTCAGAATATAAGGGTCTTTTGAATTTTTCAAGTTCTTCCTTGCTCACCATACATGGTTTCCGCAACTCCCACTTAACTAGTCGTTAAATAAATACTGTATTCTTTTTCTTTGCCCATTGGTGAGGCCACCTTTAGCTCAAAGATACCGTGAGATATTCCTAAAGAATAGCAGTTAAGAAAGCAGGCTTCAAATCTCCGTTTTCCTTCTTGCTACTTAAATAAATTTTGGGGTAAACCACTTGATTTCTCTAAGGCTCCGTTTTATCCTATGTAAAATAGAGATAAAATTAAAATTTTAAACCCTCCTTAATGAATTGTAAGGATTAAATTACATGATTATGTGAGCCCCTAGCCCAGTGTCTGGAGATCATGAGTTCTCACCCAATAAGATGGTGATGGTGATGGTGATGGTGATGGTGGTGGTGGTGGTGGTGGTGGTGATGATGATAACCACTGTCAACAACCACGCTGCTGCTGCTTGAGTATCTCTCATGAGGCTCGCTTTTGCCCGAGGTGCTGCCCAGAGTCTAACAACTCCTTCCACCTATTGCCTGTTACCCTTGCAGAAGGCTCTTTTGCTGTTATTCAGGTCCCTGTCCAGTCCATTTTCTTCAGTTTTCCTTTTCCTTGGCATCCAGTCTTTCACTTTACTTCTTTAAGATTTTAAAGGGCTTCTTAGACCAGCATCACCTTTAAGTTTTTAGCTACATTTATTAAGGATGTCTGAGGACAACCTGCAGCATGCATCAGCAACACATAGAGGGTTTTTGTAAAATTCCATTTTAAATTTGGTGGCTCTCCCCCATCCCAGAATTTCTGACTAAGTAGCTCTGAGGGTAAGGCCTGATAATTTGCACTTCTAACACATTCCCAGCCGATACTGATGCTGCTGCGGCAGGGACCATACTTAGAGAACCACTACTTTAAAAGAAGTATGTACCTTAAGAATATCTGGGGAAATAATCCTGCATAATTTCATTCAATTTCAGGTAGTGTTAAGTGTTACACCCGCCAATATTCCTAAAACTAATCTTGGGCATGAGACAGAAAAGGTAGATTGATAAATACCTTAACTTTCATGATAACATCTTAGGCCCTCTACGGCTTCTTATCTAGCCTAGTCCCGTGGAAAGAAAATCGCCTCTCTCCAAACTGTTAATTTTCAGGTATCAAAGCTGAAAAAAAAAAAAAAAAAAAGGTTGAGACATGAAACTTCTCTAGACTTCCAAAATCTCAAATTTATAAATGTTTAAGTGTTTGTCCCCCACGTTTCTCCTGCATCCCATTTCCCCTGGAAGCTTACTTTCCTTTTTACATGTTCCCACCACATTAGTGACTTTTCAACATCTCCAATATTTTCTCTCTTATTTTGGTGACTATTTTTCAGAGAGAAAGTAAGTTTTTTTTTTCTTTTTATCAGTTCAAGAGGATCATTACACACAAAATAACCTGTGTTGAAATAAATATGCTGCATGGTCTGCTAAACTCAATCTTTAGCTGAATGACATCTCCAAACATCTGCCTCACGAGGAACACAGGTGAAAGTTTTGCATCAGCAAATACACAGATCAATAATGACCTTTGGGATCACTTGTGATTAGTGATAGTAACTGTTGCATCTGTGGAAGCCAAGTCTATTCAAATATACACATTCATTTGAGATACTTAATAAGTGATGAGACCCATTTCTAAAGCCAGATATTTTGGTTCCTACACCACCTTCTTTACGGATTCTAAACTCAAAGACTGAGAAAACATTACCCTTAACTTCAATACAATAAACAGATTCCTCTGGCATCTTTCCCATTAATAATGTCCACTTCTTCTCCATAGGTTACCCTCCAATGATGGCCTTTTTTCTTTCTGATCATGCCACAGATGGAGGCACTTGTGTTAAGGCAATATTTCTTTTCATCTGATCCTTA